AGCTAAGAGCTTCCCTCTTCTCTGATTGTCAATACACATCTATGTAGGGAAAAAAAAAAAAGTACAGAGAAATAGGGCCTATCGTTTTAGTTGAATTTTAAGCAACTAAAAATTCTTTAAAAATGTAGACACTATGAAATCCATGCCAAATGACAGCACAGTAAAATCAAACTATTGCTAAGGCAGCTGTTCCTAAGGCTCCGATTGCTTTAGGTACAAGAGACACAGGTTTCAGAGCTGCAGGCAGGTTTTCTTAGAATTCACTCCCAATAAACAGCACCCGTTTATCTGCTATGACCCAGCCTCAACAGGGCCTCCTTGCCTTCTTCCAAGTAAGAACTCCTTAGATGTGATCATGGGCAGAAGCTTGCTTTCTCACATATGGAAAAACCATTTTAAGAGACTAAATCAGACAGGCATATCTCTGAGTTTGAGGTCAGCCTGGTCTACAGAGTGAGTTTCACGACAGGCTCCAAAGCTACACAGAGAAACCCTGTCTGGACCCCCCAACCCCACCAAAAAAAGAGAGATACTACTAAAGTCAACTGTGGACAATAAAGATAATCTCAGAGGCCCAAATGCAAGAAAGGAACTAACCCATTCAGAGGCCAAGACCATGAGACCCAGTGGGGGTGAGGTAATGTCATAGTAACAATTCAATTAGGCAAATGACATTTTCTTAGGATTTTATTTTGGATAAAATTATCTTCACCCACTCCTTGGCCCATTATTATATCAAACACTTAAAAACAAGACTCTTACATGCTTTCTAGCTCGGAGCTTTCACTTGAACCACCTGCTGAGAGTTGCATGGTACAGACAGGTAAAAAATGTGCAGCACTGACTGAACTGCTTTCCCAAGAAACCTGTTCCCTAGCATCTTCTCCATTTCTCTTCATGGTCCATTTCCTAGCAGCTCAAGACTGAAACTTTTGAGTCATTTCTGGTGATTTTTCTTCCAGCATCTAAAACCATGACATGGCTCAACATCCTGCAACACACAGACAACATCTCCACCGAGCCTGGCAAGTCCAAACTCAACTGGTTTGTCTGTACTCTCCCTGCTTCTTTCTTGTGCTCCTGACCACACCATAGCCAGCAAAACCTTCTCAGAAGCATCCTTGCCAGATCATGACCTCTCCACCTAGGAATCTTCAAGATCTCCTTGGCATGAGTTAGAAACCCTTCTAGCAACAAGCATGTCTCCGTCACTTCTGTTCTATCTTCTACCCATCACCCCCTACCTGTTTGCTTCACCATCACCCATCCAGATCTGCCCCATCAGTACTGTCTCTGACATTCTAGTGCCTTCCACACTTGCACCACTGTGCCTCTGACATCTCCGTGGCCAACTCCCTCATTTCCCAGGGAATCTGCTCTCGTCTCATATCAGGTCTTCCCGGACTGGTCTTCTTTCTCCTTCGTCACACTAGCCACCACGAATTGTTTACGCATTACCCTCTCTGTAGGATCCAGGCTCTACAGGCGCTTCGCTTTACTTTTGTTATGTGAAGCATCCCTATCATACAAAGTGTACTGAATGGACCATTCAGAACTTTGTCAATACATTTCCTTTTTTTTTTTTTTTTTTTTGCCTGAACTAGACTGAATTTTTTCCATATTGGTGAATATTTTTAACCTGGTTCAATTCAGTTGACAACTAATATCTGAAGGCCATGAAACATTCATCACCTCCAAACTTTAGCTGTTATCCGCAAAAATGATACCAAATAAAGGCTCCGATTAGGAGTCAGTTCTTTTGCCTCTGGTGATACACAATTGTTACTTCTATTCTCCTTCCTGCTATTGAAATCGGGATGTTTCACACAAATCGGCTTGTCTGCTGGACTGCTGCTAGCAAGGCGCTGGAGGTACAGCATTGCTGCTCTCCATCTCTCACATAGGGATACGGTCACTTCTTGGCAACTAGAAAGCACATATCTTCTTCCTTTGATGCCACAGTTCCCCTTTTGGCAGTCTACTTCACTGTAGAATGTTTCAGTACTTACATAAACCTGTATATATTGCCCATAGCAATATTAACTATTACAAGACTATGAGTAAGCTTACAAAAGAAAGAGGCAGTTCTGTACCACGTCAGTTTTTATTTCTACTAGGCAGTAATTGGACTTTTAATGTCACCATAGGTTCATTTATTTTTCACTTCTACCTACTGACAACACCCGTCATCTATCTTTAAGAACAGATGTTAAGAAACTAAGAATATTTTAAAAGGGAACACTCTGAAAACTGGAGAACCTCACAACAAAAACCATAAAAAACAACCCCCCCCATTTTGTCAATTCTATTTCTGGGTATGCATCTGTATCCACAAACTTGAGAACCTGTCCAAGAAATATTTCCCCAATTAAAAGCATCATTAACATCAGCCAAGAAGCAGAAGCAGCCCAAATGTCCACCCATGGATGAGTAAACACACAATACGGTAGGTCCATATGATGGGATGGAGTGCAGCCTTAAAAAGCACATGCTACAACATGGATGAACCTGGAGGACACTATGCTAAGAGAGACAGGCCAGCTGCAAGAAGACAGATTACCAAATGGATTCAGGGATCAACTAGGCACTAGGGGAAGTTGTTCCATTCTGCAAGCTGAGAAATTTCTGGTGATCTGCTATACAGTAATGTTAATACACTGTACTGAACCGTATTGTTAGGGGTGCATTTGTGGTATTTTAAAATGCACACATATACACACTACATTTTCACCTTTTTGTACACAGATCTTTGATAGAGGTAGTACAGTACAAATATCTATACTGAATGTATACAATTTACCCCCTTATAATGGAATTTCCTTTAAAGCCACATACACTTGAAAGCCTTACAACTTTAGTGTTTATTAAACATACAGATTACTTAGCATTCTAAGTTAAGTCATTAGTCAGGGAGAGATGACGAACTGTACAGACTGAAAACAATTCAGTTTCTGTCTCATTTTTATCTTTGAGATCATCTGATTTATATCCGTCTTCTATGCCAAGCAGACAGCAAGCCCCAGGCTCTAGTTTTGTTCGCCATTGAATCTATTGTATCTTTTTGGCCTTAGGAAAGTGCCTGGAATACAGCATGTAAGTATTGACCTGATGAATATAATTGTTATTAACCACTTAGATGAAGCAACATCCAGGTTGATAATCACCCAACTCCAGTGTAACAAGAGATACACCATAAAGGAGGCAGAATCAACTTTCAAAAAACTAATTTTAATCAAAACAAAAATTGTTGATCATTAACAAGTTTATAAAACAGTGATTTAGTTACATAAATAAATTGATATCAGTGTATCAAATCTTAATTACTTTCAACTTCATGAGCATGTTTACATGAGTGATGAAGTACAACCTTTTTTTTTCTTTTTATCTATTATAATAAATAAAATGGAGCGCATGAAATAGTTCTTCTAAACAAAAATACCTACAAACATACCTCTAGCATGTTCTCTAATGAAGGGACAAGAGACACGGGACAACTTTTGCACCAAAACATAGTTGCTTTAAGAAGCACTAGGTTACAGAACCGTCAGCTAAAGTAAAGACACTACACTGTAACCAAGGTTGGTATTTTAATAATATAATCAACAGTTTGGTAGTCACATCTCCAGTTTGGTTATTTTAAAGCATTAAGACAAGGCAAGATAGAAGGCTGCTTTTGTTTGAAGTAAGTCTAGAGAAAATAAAATATATTAAAAAAAAAGAACTGAAAAGTTGAACAGTCATACCTACACAACTTTCTGTCCTGCACAAAGTCAAAATACCTATGCAGAATAGATATATAATATATATAATGTTATCTGTGCACAAACGTTAGCTTATTAGCTCACTGCAAAGGCGTAATGGATCATGTCAATTGTTTTGGAAAACATTTTGTGTTTTGTGTCAAAAGGATATTTTAAGTTTCGTAGGCTAGGAGGCACGAACCCCAGTTCTGGCATACTGTATATTCTTAATGCTAAGGCTTGCTGCTCTGGCTGTGTGTTGTCCCTCTTTAGTCGAGTGCCTGTTATAAGCATGTGTGGTGTAGTGGTTGTTGGTGTCTGTGTGTATACATATATACATGTATACAAAAGCTGTATAGACATATATACGTATGGAATCTTCCCGACAGATCTCAGTCCAGCTGCGCAGTCCGAAGGTGGCTCTGCAGATGCCCAGCATGAAGTTCACTGCCTGAGCCAACCCCGAAGCGAGGCGTACTTTTAGTCCTTCTGATAGGTTTTTCTCTCCATTTTTGTTTTTGTTTAAAACCAAGCTACTGCAGCTTCAAGTATTTTGCATTACATAGAATATTTTTTATAAATTAGTTAATGTTATATTTTCAATATTCAGACATATACTATAATATATATACAGTACAATAAATGCTCTCATTCTTTTTTTTTTTTTAATTTTTTGGATAAATCCCTGAGAATGTATGTTGACAGTCGCTAAGTTTCCACATGCACAAGCATTGTGTGCCATGCTTCTGGACGAACAGCACTGCAAAGCCACGTGGGTCAGCCTTCTCACTACTGGTATTTCGTTTTGTTAGTTTGTTAAATATGCTGAAAATGTGAAGATGAGTTACAAAGGAGTAAAGCTGAATCCATTCGAGGTACTTGTCACAGGATGGAGGTGTTTTGTTTGGTTTTTAAAGCCATTTCAATTATTATTATTTTTTTTTGAGGCTGTGAACGTATACAGAAAACAGGAGAGCTATGTGGACTTTTGCCACTTGACAACATATACTCAGTGTAAACCAAACCTTTTCAACCTCTCTCACACAAACCAATAAAAAAGAATTTAAAAAAGGAAAGAAAAAGGGAAAAACTTAACACACAAACTTTCACAACATGACAATTTAGTCTGCAAACGCAATATAACTATACACATATAATACCGGTGTGGCTCTGTTCTTTAAGTTAAAAAGGGTACAAAGGCAGGCTCAAGTAAAAACAAACCATCCCTCCCACCCCGCCCCCACCCCATTCATACAAGTTCTACCTCTCCCGGACCAACATCATCAGTTTCTTTTTGCCTTTGTAGATTTGCTTCAGGTTGTCAATAAACTGTGTAAACTGAATATGTCCATCATGTGCCATTAGGAAGGTCTCTCGGGCCTTGCTGAGGAACTCTATAAATTCACTATAGTGCCGAGGACTGATGTGTGTCAGTCGTGAGTGCGTTGTGTTGATGTAGGCCCCAATCGTGGCATCCAAGAGTTGCCTCAAGGGGGCTTTGTCCAGTGACATGAGCTTACCAGAGTTCCTCCGTCCGTGAAGTCCCACCATGCCAGGAGTGGTCAGAGTGCACCTGCGCAGAATGTCTGACAGTACCGTTGCACACTTGACACTCTTGACCACCAGAGGTATCACAGCTGCGAGCTCATTCTTACCAAGGGAGTGACTAAGCGCACAGGCCCACAGAACGTCGTTAATGGCAGGGTGTGTGTCCTGATTGTAGCTCAGGTTGAGATGGGTCATGGCCAGTGTAGCCAGCTTGTAGGCCCTCATGGGGTACCCTCGGTGCTCCATGTACCGTGCTATTGTAAAGAGCTGTGTGTAGCTCATGCCGGTGGTAGCAGCATCGAGGACAATTTGGTACGCCGTCTCAAAAGCTATGTGATCCTTTTCACAGAGGGTCAGTGCAGAGAGGGCGCAGTTCTGCGGGTCCTTCATGGCGCACTGCAATGCCAGTGTCCGGGCACTGCTGGCCAGCTTTTCCTGCTGGTGGCAGTCCAGGTGGAGGCGGACTATGGTGCTGTTGGACATCACGGTAGTCGCAACAATACTTGTGGCCTCGGTGGGAGTAAAGAGTGTAAACCAGCTCTGCATGATGCTGTCCAGGGCATAAACACCTGCAAAGAACATAAACAAGCCCGATTAGCACTAACAGGAAGGCTGGGTACAGGTTCTGTTTGCACTTTTAGAATTGATGCTCTTATTGTTAACCACCACAGAACATGAACTAGACCAGAACCCTGAAGGTAACGTGCCTGGAAGCAGCCTTTAAGAAGAAGGTTACATGCATTGTTAGTCTGTGAGATGCCTGAAAGGAACATAAACTTCCTATAATAAAGAAGCAATCCTCTTGGTGGCTGGTATTTGCACTGCACTGCTTGCCATTTCAGACAATGGTTTTTTTTTACTAATGAGTACTCGTTCACTGGGGCCTCTTGTCAGTTATGTACTACAGAACTGGAGGGGAAAAATAGGCAGCCTTCACCCAAATAGGGACTTAATATACGTGGTATGATTAAGTTTAAAAAAGCCATACAGCATAAAACTTCAAGACCTCCAATCAAGAAAATACCACCGCAATCAAGAGAAAGACAGTGGGTAGAAGTGGGCCTGCAGATGATGAAGGTGCTAGAAATGGCCTGTGGAGACTTTAACCATTTGTACACAGATCCCAACTACTCAAAGCAGATGTCTACCTTGCCAGAGAGGCAGAGGTGTGGGCAGTTCTAAAAGCCCCATTACCTTTACATTGTTTCATCAAAAGAGCACTTTAATAATCTAAAAATAAATTTTATTTGAGAACAAATTCACAATTGTCAAAACAACAATACATCACACACGAGCAAAATAATACTAATAATATTTTTACAGTCTGCTGTCAGTGTCCAGACATTCAGGGCAGTGTCTTCCCAGCAAGAGGTGAGCATCCTTTTGTGATGCACACTGGACGAAAGACTGTTTAACCAGTCAGTTTCAGCAGCCACGACTGTCTGTGTGTGTTCTTTCTGGGACAGAGCAGATCTGTAAGTCATGCAAAGGGGACACCATCTGTGTCAAGGGCCCTATAAATCACAGCTGATGGACAGCCAGAGGACTCCAATTTCTTACACTTCAAAGTTCATGCAAAGTGATTATCCTCTCCCTGCTATTCAGATGAAGAAAAACCTCAGGGGAATGAGGGGGTATCGGAACTGAGTAACAATCTGCTTGCGCTTGCTCACAGGTTCACTCCGTTTAAAGCAAGAGACTGGAGCTGCACAGTATGATACTTTAGAAGCAGTGTGTAAGCGAACAATGGGCTCTGGAGTAGAGAAGGGAACCCCTGGTGTGTGCTTGAGGGGGCAAGACCCTGGCGAAGTAAGTCAAGGCCACTAAGAGTCTCCTGAGATCAAATTCTACCATGAGAACCCACCACACTTCTCCTCCAAAAGTTACCTACCAACTTCAGTAGCACATGTCACCAGCCACCGCACCATTTCTCGACGTCGCCAATTGAGGGTTGACAGTGTCATTCGCATAACCTGTAAAAGCAGATAATAACAAGTTTTGAAGATAATTTTATATCAATGGGGAAAAATATCCAATTCATGCCACAGTATAAACTACTAGGCAGACTCTACTCCCAGAGGGGCCAGAAGGCATTTTTATTAGAGTGACGATCTCCATGTCTGTTTGGAGCTGTTCTTGGCTTCCTCCAAATGGCCTGGGAGGTAGGAAGTCCACTGAGTACTTCTACTAGAAGCCAGATGCGACATTACAGAAAAGACATTCAATGTCTTTTCTTTCTGTTTCAAAGCATGGGGTTAAAAAACTCAAGAGTCTGGGTCATCTTCTTCCCAGCATTAGTATTCTAGGACTCGATTTCTGAGGTATCTTATGAAGTTAAAAAAAAAAAAAAAAAAGAGAGAGACATGTATGGGTAAGATGTACTCTGCAACAGCAACTCTGGTTATTCCTTCAATCTTTGACCAGGACGGTTACCTCAGATATATGGAAAGAAACCATCTTTGGCATCACTGCTAATTTCTTCCCACTCCTACATTCTATTAAGAATTTACAAGATCAACTTATGCACCTCTTCATGTTTACAAAAATATCTAGTATACTAACATCCTGACCCCTTAGAAAGGGCCAGAAGGGTTCTTCTTAGGTTCCCGAAAGAACAGAGCAAGGGGTGAGCAGCCATGAATCTGCCATTTACCCAGAATTCCAAATACACACAGAAACCACATTAACGTTTCTTTCTGCATTATACCCTGAAAGATAAGGCAACTTATAATAGAAGGCAAATACAAGAATTGATATTTAATAGTATAAATTCTAACCATATTTAAAAGCAACCTCTGCATCTTTGCTTATACAGTACCTCATGTTACAGTGGCACTTGCCTTTCCCACTGCATTTAACATTACTAATACATCACAGAAAGGAAGAATCGATAACTTAGAAAACAAATCAATAATCTAATCAGGGCCTTCTAATTCCCTCGCTTTAGGTAGGGTGTAACTACTTTTTAATGAGAGAGAACACAATGTTAGCACAGGTCTCAAGAAGGAAGCAGAAACAGGCTTTGGTTCCTGGTTTGTATAGTAACCTGTGCAGGAACTGTAAGGAAGCAAATGTCACCTGTGCAATGGACTCCACGTGTCCCTGCTGTTGCATTCTGCCGCACTCTGAAACTGGAAACAGGCTGACTGCCCTGCCTTTACCCAGTTTTCTCAGTGTTACAAAAAGGAGGCAGAACTGTCCAATGCAAACATCAATAAAAACTCATACTGCCTTTAAAAAGCCAGCCCTTACAACTTAATCTTTACTGCATGTGCTAGCTTTACTCAACTCTCTGGTCAGCAGTATTTTTCCATTCATGCACGAGAGAAACAGGAAGAGTTAAAGCTGTAATTCAGAAAAAAACTGTTTTTATAGTTGAGGATTCTATATGCGTGGTTGCTGCAGCCCAGACTAAAATCTGGCTGAGCTGGAAGCTCAGAGCTTCCAGAGCTCTGGAAGACAAGTGTTGTTCAAAAGTACCTCACACCTGGGTTCTAGAGAGTCACTAAAAAAATGAATAGAACACAACCCTGCAAGGCTCTTAGCAGCAGTCTTTGGTGCCCCAAGAAGGACCAGTACCTGCAAGCCCAGCTCCAGAGACACTTTCAAAAGAGTGATATCTGGCAAACTGTCCATTAGAGTTGCTATTTTAAACGCATCCTGGGCAAGCTTAAAGATGTGTGATGAGGAGTGAATGTTTTTCTGGATGGACTCTAATACTGTTTCCAGCCTCCGAACATCGCCTGCAATGAACAAGGGAAAAGCAAATCAAACTGAGTCAAATGTAGGCGGAGCAACATAGAGACAGGCCATACAAAGAGACATGCACAGAGGACAAAAGGACACAAAACAAAAGCACACATCCATTTACCTGCGGTGCTTGCAGCTGGTACAGATGTTATGACTAAGTGTCCCACGGTCACTGAAAAGTCTATAAATAATCCCAGCTTCACATAAATATTGGCTGAGACACACCCTCAGTGACTAAAAGCACAAATAAACCAGAAACAAACAACACAAGGGGCATGACACAGGACAAACAGCTCTCCTAGCTTCTGCTTTATGTATTGTAGTAAATACTTTAAGGATAATGCAACTAGCTAAATCTTTTGTTCTATTTCTAAATCTCAGTGATTTAGTGTTTTTTTTTGTTAGGGGGACAGTGTTACACAGCAGGTAATATGACATAGGTAAATAAAGACAATGCCAGTCTCAATTGAGAAGCACCCATTTGCCTCAAGAATAAAGTAAGAAGTTATCGCTAAAAAGATTCTTTGAAACTTATCTGATAGTAATACCATGGTGGAGAATTTGATTTAAAAACAACAATTAAAAGAAAGGTTTTCTGGGGAAAAAGAAGAGTGCAAACCAGTAAAACAATTAGGTTTCCAGACATTACACTACCTTTGGCTGCAGTTAGCATAGTGGATGCCAGCTCACATTGTTGGGATTCAATGTGGCTTAAAGTGAACCAACGAGGGTATCGGTTGGGGACAACTGATGCAATGTGGTGGGGGCGGGTGAGGTCTCCTGTTGGAGCAGTAGATTCCAATACTAGTAACCTGAAATGAGAAGGGAAGGAAGGGTCACTCAGTCATTATTTGCCCTTTACCCTGGCCACAATGACTAGCCAGAAGAAGCCGGGGTCATGGGGTCATGGGACATGTTAGGGACAGATGCTGATCGGGGCTCAAGTACAGGGGAACTGTACTGCTCACCTTGCTGACGGCTCACTGCTCAAACCTAATGACTTCCTTATCCCTCAGCAGCACTGAGAAAACTGTGTGACGATCAGGGGAATTCAGACACACAAGAATTGTGAAACATGAGACTTTATCTCAATGCACTATTTTTTGAATCTTACCACTTAGTAAAAAATAAAAATAAACAAGCCAGCCAGGCAGTGGGTGGTGCACGCCTTTAATCCCAGAGCTGGGGGGTGGGGGCAGAGGCAGGCAGATCTTTGTGAGTTCAGGGCCAGCCTGGTCTACAGAGTGAGTTCCAGGACAGCCAGAGATACACAGAGAAACCCTGTCTTGAAAAACAGAAAGCAAAACAAAACAAAAAACAAAATGTGGCAAGGTAGAAGATAAAGAAGGAAGAATTTTAGCAGAGTTGCCATTCAGCTTTTTATAGAATTCAAGAATGCCAGTCTCCGTAGCCAGATTCTTGCCAGAGTTGCTATAGAGGAAAGTAGTCAACAGTCCTGGGAAGACGAGAAAGTGAGACCAAAGTTGCCCTTCCTTCTCTCTCTCTGGACTAAGAAGCAAGCATGCAAACTACACCTCTCTCTTCCTTCCCCATTGTCTGGCTGCCCTGAAATGCTCTTGTGTGTTATTTCCCTATGTTGCATCCACAGAAGGCCGCTGGGCAAGGCACCAGGAGCAAGTAGGAAAGAGTGGAGGAGAAGGTAGTCCCCCGTGCCCTGCTAGTGCCCCTTGCTAGTGTTCCTGGCATCCATCAGGACAGCAGATTCTGTTACTAAGTAAACCAAAACCACACAGGAACATGATGCTATTTCACCCTTTACTTTTCAATGGTAGTAGTAACTGTACCTGGAGGTATCATAACTAACTCTTTCCCCTTAAAACAAGACTGGAATTCTTAGGATTAGAAGTATACAGGTCAATCTGTCCCCCAGAAGACTTCTACTCCAGTTTCTAAAAATGGGAATTTAACCTCATTTATGAAAGTGTGCTCTAAAATATAAACCAAATGGTATTAAACAATTTTATAAGGAAAACTGTTGCTCGTGTTAGTTACAGACCTACTCTGGGGCAATTTAAAGATCAACAGGGTATTAGAAGGTTCCTCTAATAAATTACTGATTGTCTCCAGTGGTCTAGAAATTCAAGTATAAGACAGATAGATGTTATAGTAACTTTGAAGACACTGGTAATTCTTAGGCAAGGATTCATGTGTCAATCTTCCATCAATTATGGACAAGGATGAAAAGTTTCTTATGGGATCAAATATACTTTTAAATCTACAGAGGGCTTGTCTTCAGTCTATTACTATAATATATAATCTGAACTTTCCATTAAAAACATAAGAGTGATTTATTCATTGAAAACAGCAAAAGGGAAAAGGCTAAAGCTGTAAGAGTGGCACATGTTCCCTTCAGCCTCTTCAGGTTAAACAGGTTATATATAAGATTTAAAAATAGGCTCTTAAGAGCACAACAAAAAGTATCAACCTTGAGCAAATTCATGATAAAGGCAATTATTTGCTGGATTAATTTTTCAAAGGGAAGTGAGAGTAAGCAAGTGCAGTGGCAGAGACCATTTTCATTGCCATGACCAAAAATACCAAGGAGGAGATGGGAGTAGTGGAGCTGAAGTGAACAGATTTTGAGAGATGCCTAGCAAGGACTCCTTTAACACCAGACACATCCCATCTGGCCTCCAGTTGTGCACTGATGTGTCCTAGTAATGCGGGCGTCTTCCTGTACTCGTACTGCAATGTGGGGCCCAAGTGTGAAAGTTTTCCTCAATTACCATACTCACTCTATTTGTTATTTATTAGTATTTGGTATCTATCATGTTTAAAAAATTATTTTTTTTTAAAAAAAACAACTGTATTCAGGAAGAATTAAACAGGTATTCTGTGATTGAACTGTTCTGAAGTTATATTTTATTGCTAAATTCTATTGTTAAGAGAAAAGGCTATGATGACCGCTGCCTAACAGCAATTAAGAAAATCAGTGCCCCCTTACTTTAAAGCAAAATCAAAACACAACAGACAGAGTGCCTCACAACAATTCCGGAAGGAAAAAAAAAAAAAAAGGATCTTTAGCTTCTCTGTTGCCTCTAAGAAACAAGACTGAATATGAGGTCAGCTAATGGCCCGTTTCTCCCAGTGGGGAATTCGGACTGCCTCTGCTGGGCTGGGCTGTGGATACTTACCGCATTGCTCGCAGTGCAATTCTGTATGCCAATTCAGCATCATGAGGTAGGAGAGAGGTGAAGAGATACTTGGCAAATGTGTGCATTGGAACACTCTCCCGATGGATTATTTCACCTAAACCACTATATGGTCCAGCTGTGGAAGAGAACATACACAGTTTACATTTCAAAAGAACAAACTAACACTTATTAACTGTATTTGATATTCTTTATGTAACTTTATAGCTAATTTAAACTGAATTTCAAGTTCCTTATGTAAATTATACCTACTCAAGTTAAGAATTGGAACTAAGTAAAGGTAGAAAGAAAAACAATTCTTAGTCAAAAGGTTCTTGAGGGCACAGTACCCAATACAGGCTTCACATCATGAACAGTTCCCCAAGAGTCCCACTGATAAAACAGGAACCATGGAAGTGAGAAGCAGAGCCACATACAGCACAAGGACCTCTGATAAAGAGGCCCCCTGAAGCACAAATCCTTGCAGAACTTGACCAAGTTCTTTTTTGGTACATGTTAAATGAGCATCCAGATACAGAAAAGCACAGAAGGCTGCTTAGCTAAGGAACCTGCATCTTGACCAACAAGGTTTTAGGGCCACAGATGCGCCAGGTCCAGAAAAGAGCCTCACATATGGGAGGATACCGGGCCCTCAGCACAGACTCCATACACTGCTGCTTCCAATAAGCAGAAATAGTAATTCCATAACGGGATTAATAAGAAGTTACCCATTTGGTATTCACTATAAGCAAAGAAAAACATTAAAATAATGGAAATGTACTCTTTTGGCTCCAGCAGGCCAATTTTGAAAGTGAAATCACATTTAAGCTGTCAAAACTCATTTCTTAGTAAATTCTGACAGGTGCGGTGGCAGCATGGTCCCCTGTGTGCTCCCCAAATGCTTCTCTCAGAGGAAGTGCAGACTTCAGCTTTGAAAGGAAACCACAGTGGTTAGTTCTAACACTCAGCACTCAGGTGTTCTGAGGCTTAGTTACCGTAAAGGGTTTAATAAATTAGTTTCCACGTCACCTTTGGGTAACATTTGTTTCATAATTTCTAGAATTATGAGCCATGACACTGCTGCTCATAGGAAACAATACATTTGTTTTTCATGAGAAAAACCAGTCTGGGAAAGAATTCAGAATGCAAGAAATGCAGTTCAGAAACCATGGTGACACAAGTTATTTACTGGATTCAGTTTTGGGTAGGAGCAAGATACATTCCAGAGTGATCTAGCAGTCATTTTGTAGTTCAATTGCCAGGTTAGTACCTTTTTTTTTGTACCTTTTTTTTTTCGTTTTTCGAGACAGGGTTTCTCTGTGTAGTTTTGGAGCCTATCCTGGCACTCTCTCTAGAGACCAGGCTGGCCTGGAACTAACAGAGATCCACCTGCCTCTGCCTCCCGAGTGCTGGGATTAAAGGCATGCGCCACCAACGCCCGGCTGCCAGGTTAATACTTTTAAGATATTCACTATTTAAATATTTTGAAAATCACAGACAACTTATTTTAACCTTAACAAACTATAATCCATGACATATTTCTAATTTTGCCAAACATATTAATCTTTGTAAGACATTTCAAAATGTTTAATAATTGAGTATTTGTGCAAAGTAGATGATGTTATACATGTACCCTTTTGTTCACAAAACCAAGTTCCATTATTGAAGTTACTGGGATGAACTAAATGTGTATGAATCTCCAAACTCCTACAGTAAAACTCCTACCCCAATGTGAACATATTCTGAGACACAGACTCTACGAAAGTCATTACATTTAAATAAGGTCCTAGAAGCAGTGCACTGAAATGCTAAGATTAGTGCCTTTTTGCCCAGCTAGGAACTCTCTGAGCTACAATAATAACTGGCCTGGAAAAATATGTTCACTCACTGGTACAATAGTGGTACAAATGTCACAGGAGTACACAGCCACTTTCTGATTATATTTAATTCCTGCTCTACAAGTTACAACCCACCTGGGTCTGAGAACCTGCGCCTGGACACGTCATAGGCCTCAGGGGAGAACCTACTACCATTATTCTACTAAAGGAGCCTAATATTAATTGACTCCTAATGACTCATGATTACAACCATAGATCAATGTATCTTTCAGACTCTATTACAGAAGCTGTGACTGCATGACAGGAGCTCAGTTAGTTCTGGTCAGATATGCAACCAGCACAGAACAGAGGGGGAGAAGAGTGGCATGAAGTCCCACCCCAGCTAAGAAGCTATTAACTGATAGCTTCTGGGGGGGAGAGAGAAGAGAGACACACACACACACACACACACATGAGAGAGAGAGAGAGAGAGAGAGAGAGAGAGAGAGAGAGAGAGGGGAGGGAGGGAGAGGAGGGGGGAGGGAGGGAGAGAGAGTGCATGTTTCTTCCAGGTTTTGGCTCCTGGTGGGCTTCCCATGCTCTCGTGCAAGGCCACTAACTATATGAGAGTGGATATGAGCACCACAAGCTAGACTTGCTTTCTTAGAGGAGTTGAAAGAGAGTGAAGGATTCAAAATTCCTGAAGAACTAATTTTTATAAAGGGGGGGAGGTAAGGCCAAACAGTTTTCTCTGTCTCTGTCAAGTGAGGACAGACAGAGGCCTTCACGCCAGAAACAGACCTCTTGAGAAGTAGAACTGCAGTCTCTGTGAATCCCTAAAACCGTTAGAATACAAACCTACTGCCAGTGTCACCATCTATCACATGCTGGCAAAGCATCCAGGTCCATTTCATTTCAGGACAAATCACAGCGATCTATATGCACATCACCCATATTCTTCACTCTTCCTCCACTGCCTTTCAAAGTTCCCTTCAAACCACCAAGCTACCTTTTCATTACTCAGAGAAAGCGGGAATGCATATTCAATGAGTAAAACACTAAGTTAGGTATTACAGAATTACTTTTAGATTAACAATGGCTATAATCGATGAACTTAACTGTATTAAATAACAAAACCCTGACATCTAGCATGAAGTTTCCCCAAAGGCAATTCTCTAATCTGTGATTACGTCACCAGTGCCATGGCCAGGAGAGTCACACTCAGCAACAACATAGTTACTGCTCCCTCTTGTTGGGTGTCCAGCCTGCTAAGAAATTCCTGACTCTATAAATGCATGGGAGGGCTCCATGAGCTAATGTAGTCAACCTACTAATGGAGCTTGTTATCTTAGTTATGTACAGAAATGGCCCACAGTCTCCTGACGACTGCTCCAGTCCTCTACCAGCTAATCTTGGGCCCTAGAAAGCCTAGAAAGGGGAGGAGGTACAATAACTCAGAGTCATCACCCCCCATTCAGACAGTTATTAAACAAAGTTTGATGAGAGGAGTGAACTAATTAAAAACTAAGAATTTAAATAAAAGCACTGAACACATTGAGATGCATTTAAAAGAAAAGGGCAAATGACAAAGACATCAGACACTATCAGCTTTGAAAAAATCTCTTGTCCTCTTCAAAACTTAAAATGGCAACCAAAAGCCAGGATAAACATGACCAAACTAAAAAGAAAGCTGTGGCCAATGTTGATGCTTATATACATACCAAAAGGGGTTATGAAGAAGGAAAATTAAAAATAAAAAAGCAGTTAACTAATCAGGGTTACTCTTGAAAATAGCTAGACAGGCCTTTTATCTTTATACATTACTAAGTAACAGTCAACAATGACAAAATTCAGTAGAGTACTTAAAAATTTAAAATCGGAACCCCCAAGATGAAGAATCATATTAAGGCTTAGTTTAAGAACATTTTCCATTTTAAAATGTATAAAAAATATATTTGAAAAATATTTTCTTCAATATTTTTTAAAGATCTTAACTACATCTTTAGCTTTGGATAAATTAAGAGGTTTGAAAATATATTTTCTCTAAGTTGTATAGCTGTCCATGATATAAAACATCAACACACTTTACCAGGCAACCACAGAAAAATCCCACCATCACAGCACACATCTCAAAGAGAAGTCATTTCTACCAGTAAGTCAACTAAATTTGTACACACTAAATTATACTAATTATACTTACTGTTCTGAGAAAACATTATCTTAACAACAGTAGCAGCCAAAATGTAAGTTTAGGACCTTCAAATTACCTAGACCTTATAAAATAAAGACAATTCACCTTTGTTTCAGATAGGCTATAAAGCCTATGAACCTATGCCTAATGAATCCTCTGACATTATTAAAAAGCAGTAGAAAACCCACTCCTGTAGTCTTCAGTTCTTTGTTGGCAAGTGCACATGACACTAAGAGGCCAGATGTTGTGTAACAGCTAACATATCTACAGGAATGCCAATCAGTTTCCACTTGATTATTTACTTGATCAAGCTAATAGGAACATGGGTACCAATATCTCACTAAATATCAACATTGCATTTATCTCAGGAACCACACAGCATGAATAAAATAGTCCTTTACCAAGCATTTCAAACAAACTGTCCTGTATGACAACCTAAATCAAATGATAAAAACCTAAACATCTATAACTGAAGTCAGCTGACAGGTTTCTTAGTTGAACATACTTTGGATACTGTGTGATTATATTCAAAAAGACACCTACCATATTCAATGCATCCACACAATTCTCTTAACATAACAAAAATTAGTACATAGACCAGGCCCCTATCACATTACCTTCTAAGAGGAAGACTGCTTGCTTGCGAAAAATTTTCACCAGTGTTTCATCCAATTCAATTTCCTGAAGCTTGGAAATGAGCTGCTCTTCATTCCTGCAAACTTTCTCTTGTGTATACAGCCCATCAGGCATGATCCGCTGCTGGCCCAGTCCTATCAGGGCTACTTCCACAGCTAGCGTCACATAGGATTCTCCTTCTTCTAAGAACTTGTGTGCAGGCAGATGATGGTATTCTAAGGACTTGCACTGTCCCATGTTTTCTATTAAATGCCATAAAAATTGACTTAAGTTACATATGACAGAAATCTATGTTCCAGTTAGAACTAGTAAATGAGCTGACTAAGAAAACAAGAACATCCAATTTTTACATTAAGATACATAGCTTTCGGGCTGGAGAGATGGCTCAGAGTTTAAGAGCACTGACTGTTCTTCCAGAGGTCCTGAGTTCAATTCCCAGCAACTACTGGGTGGCTCACAACCATCCATTATGAGATCTGGTGACGTCTTCTGGTGTGCAGATATACATGGAAGCAGAATGTTGTATGCATAATAAATAAAATCTTAAAAAAAAAGGATACATAGCTTTCTAACTCCCCTCCCCCCTTTTCCAGACAGGGTTTCTCTGTGTAACTGCCCTGGTTATTCTGGAACTAGTTCTGTAGACCAAGCTGGCCTAAAAAAAATCAGAGATCCACCTGCCTCTGCCTCCCCAAGTGCTAGGATTAAAGACATACGCCACTGCAATCCAACTAGCATATTTTAAACAGTGACTAAGGATGATAAAATATGTATTTTTTTTCTGGGATAACTAGTAGTTTTTTTTGTTTTTTGTCACTGAAAATGAGATACCAAAGAAAACTATAGATACAAGAAAATATGGTACCTTATAAGGATCTTTTTTAATTAATTTTTTTCATTTATTTTACATACCAGGTACTAAGGATCTTAAAGAGTGAAAAAAAGATTTTAATTAAACAAAAGTAAAATTACATATTACAGTTACAAGACTTATGTTACATAACCAGTATATGCTAATAATAAAAAATTAACTTTAAAAAGTACATGACTAACTATAATGGCACATTTTTAAGATTGGCATGGAAAATGTTGTCATACTTTCATTACAATGCTAAAATTTCCAATGAAATCAGTAAAGAAAAGAACATATGTAATTCAACTAACTCCAGGGTCCTTTTGTCATACAAGGTCAGTCAATGACAGCGAACCATTCTTTGTCTCTGTCCAGGAGCCTCAATTTGATGATATTAACTTCAGTCATCCAACTCCCAGGGAAACACGAATTTGGACTCACATCTGCCACCCTCCCAAAAGAACTTGGGTCACCCCCAACTCAGGAGATAACTAGTTGTCCGGAAGACAACTGAGATAGACAAGATAATCAAACCTGTTTCACCCCATCATAGGACAAACAAAGAACAATCTTCACTCTTCTCACTCCTGCCTTAAGTAATCATTTGAGGAATGGTTCTGAATTCCCAAGAGACCAAAGAGAAATCTCAAAACATCACTTTTAAGGAATGTATGGCACCAAACAAATTTGACAGATACTTAATAGTTCCCTTAAATTAGACTTTATTTAAGTAATTTTTCATGCAAAGACAAATTTGAAAAGCAACTAAATATTCTAGTTCTGAATGCTATGGTTCATAGTCTTATTTGTCTATTCATTTCTGTCATAATCAAGGTTGGACAAGTCATAAATGAACTAAATTCTTAGTGCATTATCATGTGCCAGAACAGAGTATTTTTTGGGTAACTGACAAACACTGTCAGACATTGATTCAGAAGATTTTCCTATTGGAGGAAGACCACCCAAGGCATGAGTGCCCACTTGCTAGCTTCACTGACCCACAGACACTATTAACTACATGGTCTCATAAAATATACTGTAGGGGCTGGGAGAGATGGTTGAGTAGTTAAGAACAGTGGCTGCTCTTCTGGAGGACGTGGGTTCAATCCCCAGCACTCACATGGCAGCTCATGTCTGTAACTGTAATTCCAGGGGATCTGACACCATCACACAGATATACATGCAGGCAAAGAACCAAATCACATTTTAAAAAGTCATTTAAATATATATTGTAAAGAAAAACAAACAGGAGCATCACTCTGTGTTTAGGAAAAGACAAGAACAAACAATGGCTTTACCTGTAAAATCTGAGAGCCCAGAGAAGGTTTCATCCTCAGTGTGGCAGGCTTCCATGAGGCTACTGAAGAGTGTGCCCACAGGGTCTAAGGGGTGTCCAACCCAGCCTTCCAGATTGGTTATTGAGGTTATGCTTTTATGGGGTAGCTCTGTTTAAAAAAGGAATCGAGAAGTGGGGAGAAAGGAGATGAAGGAAGAGAAGGGTAATAGAGACTGATTTAATAGCAGCATTCTGAAAAATTAATAATTCAAATGGAAAGCCCTTTTAGTTAAAAAAAAAATCAGTGGAATGGTACTATAATCTCCACCTTGTGAGCTGTTTTGAGTTGTAAAGGTTTATCTACCAATCACTATAAATGGCACTTAAGTCCAAGAATGGCTCCCCACATCTGCTTAATTCAGGTGTCCAATAGTATTATCATATTGTAGAAAGACAGGGAATCCTGAGTTTTTCCTAAGAAGCTAAGCATCCTGCCATCTTTGCTCCCTTGGGAGTGTCATTAGAGATGATAAAGAAGCCTGGGCTCACAAACTGGGTCTACAGCTCTATCTTGACAGTGTCAGTGCCCCAGCACTCATTGGGTCATCAATGATGAACAAGAGTGAGCAGTTTCTTCCTGGATTTAAGTCAAACCCCCACATGAGTATTGTTTAATCACCCCATCACTTCACAGCAGCTCTCCTTTCTGTGAAAGGCATTAAGAGTGGACCTTTCCCAAAAGAAAGCTATAGCACAAGTTAGATGTAGACTTTGATAAAATAGATTTGTTCATTTTCTTCACAGAATGCTAGCTTTTTCATGTTATAGTGCTGAGGAAAACCTTGAAAATGTTTTAAGGTATAATCTACTAAAAAATGCTATTTAAAGCTACTTACCAGAATAATAAAACAGTAGTATCTCCTTTTAAAAGGGAAATATAATAAAATCTATAAATAAGCTGACATAGCTAGCCAAAGGGTCATTCCATGATTTTGCCATTTCTTTGGAAGCCTTCTCATTTTACATTATTAACTCTTAGCACACAAGAACAGCACACAAAAGCTTATTCAAGTTGTGTTCTAGAGTCCTCAGAAAGGTCAAAGGTTCCTTGGTTTCTGCCACCAGCTTCCATATGCATAGCAAACATGAGAGGAGAAGCACAAGCATCACTCTTTGCAACAGCCAACTCTATGCTTGACTTAAAACTTGTATATGGTTAAGGGAACTGTGTGTAGACAAATCTACAGGTAGGTGAGAGCTACTAGAAACACTTTATCTCAGAATCACCACATTTCCCAACCTTGGCTCATTTACAAGTAACTGCAATGCAGTGGCTACTAATATTAATATTTGTACAAACAATAACAGCAAATCAGGGAAATACAGGTGCAGATTACAGTCCCAGCAATACTCAATCAAGAGCCACCTGAAACAAGTGTCATCACTTGGAGGATGACAGAGAAATGTGTCTGCGATGGGCCAAGCCTGGGCTATAGCATGGCTGACTCTAAGGCAATCATAACAGTCTAATCTAATGTGAATTCTATCTTACTACAACTGTTTATACTTTGTTTCTTAAATAGAACATTTTTACCAAGCAGAATTCAAAAACTAACATTCATCAGAAAAATTTACATGGTTGCTATAAAAATCAGACATAACCATGAGCTGGTCCTCTATATGAAATAGAGTACTGTACATCCACTTAGCCTGAAAGCTATCCTTTACACTATTCAGAAACAAATACTCTGGGCCAGAGACAATCTGTGTGTTTAGAGAAAGCGGATTTCAGAAAAGCTTTCTACAGGGCCTTGCAATGCATTTTGGGAGAATGAGCAAAGTCATTACATATCCAGGCCATTAACATTCCAGTCCCATCTGCACTTCCCTTTCTGTGGTTCACTCTAACACTGGAATTATTCCCACTGTGACCGACAGTGCCAGTCCACACTCCTAATACTTCTAACATAGAGGGAATTAGAAGTTACAGCCAGCAATTGCTCCAACTTCCAACCCATTCTACAACCTTTAGTTATTTATTTGTACTCAAGGTATGTAATCTAAGTACCAAAGCATTAAAAACAAAACTAAGAGCAAAAGCTAACAGTAACTAGAACTGTTCTTTATCTTAAAAAAAAAAAAAAGAGAGAGAGCAAAACCAAGTCATCCCAAGAAATGTTTGCCTACAGAAGAAACAAAGAGTAGGCAATCAGGCAAAGCAGATGCACCCCACTATCTGGACAACAAGCTGAGAACCCGGCTAACAACCTTTGCCATTACTATTATGGTCCTTATTCAAAATTAGAAGATTCAAAAACAGATGAAGACAAGTTAAATGTGTCCTGTCAGTTGACAGCTTATCAAATGTCATCTGTAGAACTCGAAAAAACAAAACCGGGAGCTCACATTTAGTAAATATAGCATGTCCTCAAACACAAATTACTATGGCTATAAAGTAACAGAATGTCAGGCCTTGTTTAAGACTTTCTCAGTGGCTCTCAGAGACAGACCCTCTGCTGAGACCTGAGAAAGCAGTCACTGACCAAGGGTGCGCACCTGAAATCTACTGCTGGAATCCAAGGATGGGCAGCCATTTTAGAGCCCTCAGTGTTAGAATTAAAACACCTGGGCACAAAAGCAGGTATTTGGCTTTCATTTTAGATGATCCAGACATATCATCAACTATTCCAAAAATAAAAATCTCCTTAAAGAATTATGAGTTTTTATTACTTTCAACATTCAACCAAAACAATTTAATTTTATTTTTATAGATGTTATCCAATTTAAATTTTTTCTTTGTTTTTACCTTATGTGTATAGGTGTTTTGATTCTATTGCATGTCTGGTACCACACTGAGTGGATTATCAAGCATTTTTAAGAGTGGCGAGCAAAGCCATTTCTATGGCTGTATTTTAAAAAAAATTATAATATATATATATCTTCTAGCACAACATAAAACCAAGTTACATCCTCACCAAGAATCCCACTCCAATAGAGAGAACCTCCTCCACAATCACCTTTTTTTTGAGTCCGGAACATTTCCAACTGTTTCTGCTGCTGTCGTCGTAATGTGTTCACAATAGCTATTGCTAATCTCAGTGCTTCTCTGGGGTACCCATGAGAACGCAATGCATCCACTCTTGCACAGGCTGTAGGAACATGCTCTACAACAGAAACCCAAAGGGGTAAAGTTGCCACTGTCTGATACATCCATCAAAGCAGGCTACCACAGAAGAAGATATGGGAAACCATTTCCAAACTTGGATCTGAATGAAAATTTCAGCCCCTTTGCCAGGCATTCATCCCATCTCCCACTGAATGCCTCAATTCTCTACCTCCCACTCCAATAATGCTATAGAAACTAAACAAAGAAGTAAGTCATGGAAATGTCTTTCCGGTTTGGCCACTTACCATGCCAGAGGGGCCACCCTCGGGAGTCAAAGAGGGAGTTTTCAGTGTCGTCATGGTAACAGTAGTTGGTGTACAGGTCACTGCTGATAATGTGCTGCAAGTGGCTATCCTGCCAGTGGAGATCACATGCCTCTATGGCTCTTGTGAACACTGTCCGATGTGGCCTGTTCGATGAATCTGTTTTTTCCACAATTCAGAAAGCCGTGTCAGCTATTATTCACATGTGAATAAATCAGTCATACCATTCTGTGGCCAGATGTTCATGAACACACCCACACACACTGTTCTGCACCCCCCTAAGCAGAAGGGTGGAGGGTGAATGGATATTCTCACATCCTAAGTGCTACAAGGCAGTCAGCTTAAAGAGCCTCCAGTCACGCACTTGTTTTATCAAACCAAACATTCTGCAGCCATTAAAAGCTAAGGTAAAGGCATCCTGCAAAAGGAATTGTCAAGTTGATTCTCCATGACAAATATACTCAGAAGAGGCATTCGGCTTAAAAAAAAAAAAAACAACAACAACAACAATAACAACAACAACAAAAACCATGTGAAAACTCACTGCTCCCCACTTCTGAGGTGCTGTGCTGGGCTGCCCCTGTTGGGATCAGCAGCTCTCACAAACACTATGCAAGAGATGCGACACCAGCCATGGAACCTTTCAGGAAGATGCAGTCAGCCTTAAAAATATGCATAAGGGTTGTGCTTTTGGTTGTATTTTTTAACTATATTGTGCGGTTTTGCACAATTAAAACTATTATGCTTCTTGGGATATAATGATTAAATGCCACTTTATATCCCAAAGGGCATAAATGCATATGTTTAACATTTCACAAAGCCACACAACATAGCTACAAAACAAACCAGCGCACTTACCTTGCCCCTACAGGCTGTCTCCTGACTCCTGGGCAGGTTCCATGACTGGTGTGATGTCCCCAGCATAATGTATGCCAGGGCATCACAAGAGAGCAGAAGCATACAGTCCGAAGGGGGTTCAAGGTTCAGGACCTGACGAAGAAAAGAAATGTTTGGGGAATAAAGAATATTCTCACCTCAGCTCCTTGGATTATTCAATTCCTAAAGAGATTACAGGCGCTCCCGCCCCTTGGGCCCCAACTCTAAACTTACCTTCAACTGTAGCACAAGAAACCACTAAATCATGGGGCAGTGAAAATTTCATTTATGTATATTTAATTTTGCTCAAGTACAGTTCCCTTCACTGATCTCCAAGACTCAACTAAGTAAGAAACAAAACAAAACTTGCTACCTTTACAGCAAGGTTTCATCCTGGACCTCTGTCTGAGAACACAGAAGGCAAACCACAAACAGCAAACATGACTGGGCTGGGAAGAGGAACCTAGAGAATTCATCTATCTGGGCTCTCTGTCCTTCTGGGGGAACCAAACAGCAACAGAAAACACCATGACTGGTTAGGATCCCACAGCCAGGTACTGCCAAGAGTCCAACACAACCCTTACTACAAGTTTAGCTAATGCAGCCACTTGCAATGGCTGTTGGCAAGTCTATCAGAGACATCAGTTCAGGTTGGTCTCATATCAACTTAGTTATCCATATCTACAAGAAGACGTATCAAAGCGCACAGATGGCAGAGACCTATGTCATCATCTGCTGTGACACCTGACTAGAATCTTTGCTAGCAGCAGATGGATGACCATCCTGCAAAATTGGAAGGATAGGCCCAACTTTCAACAGCCTTTTGTCAAGCAAATTAAATGTGCTATTCCAAGTGGGGGGCGGGGAAGGAAGAACAGTTTTAAGGACCACTCATAATCAAATTCCTAAAATTCAAGTATCCTGTAGGTGTTTTTAAGTGGCCTTACCATTTAGTTTACTTCAAATCATAGAGTTAAAGCATAAAACTAAAGGGACTTTAAAATAGCAACTGCCTATTATACATGCTATAAAGGAATGAGTTAAGGGTTCCAAGCATTGACTTGGCTCTCTATCTACATACAATACTAATATGAACATGTAGTGTGGTTTCATTAGAAGAATAAACTGCACTGTTCCTTTTCATGACAGAGAAAAATGGAGAAAATATTCAGCTTTTAAAATTGGTTTGCTCCAAGAAAACCAACAAAACCAAAAGTCACAAAAAAAGGCTACACTCTGACAAAATTATATTTAAATAACCTTGGAGGCCTTATCACACAAGAAGCACAAAAACTGGTATGCACAAATTCATAAGTATTAAAAAACATTAAGTGTCGGTAACAATATATTGGAAATTTGAGAAAGTAAAAGGGGATTTAAGTCTTATTTTTGAAAGCATCTACAAAAAAGAAACTGGTTTTCTCCTGAATGAGTATGATCCAGATGCCATTCACTAGTCTAACAAGTCACCCTAGCTAGCCATGGGGGTAGCAGAAGCCCTGCATATGCACTTTAACACATGTGAGTGCAACATACCTGTCCCACAGGCACAGGGACCTCAGTGAGAGTCCCCAGGCTCTCCTCTAGAAAGAGGTGTTCTAGGTAGGAGTCAACATACTCTCTGCAGGATGACAATGGGCACCCTCTTGGGGAATGACTCTTCTCACAGCCCCTCAGAAAGGGCTGTGAGTGTTTTGCTAAGAGCAGACACACTGGCGCCTTTTGGCACAATAGCTGCAAGTACTGCCTTTGGATACAGACCTAGATTTACACTGCCTAGACCAAACTGTGGTGTCCTAGAGGTCAGATCACTTCTTCTTTAAATGTACTGGTGTTTTCCCTCCCAGTGTGCCTGTGTCCACAGAGGCCAGAGAGTCCATCAGATCCCCTCAAACTGGAGTTACAGATGACTGTAAGCTACTAGGTGAATGCTGGGAATTGAACCCAAGTCCTCTGCAAGAGCAGTAAGTGCTCTTAACTTCTGCACAATGCTTCCAGACCCATCCCAGTTGCTATAAATAGAAAGTAAAATGTTAAGTGTAGGAAATCAAAGTAGCAGACCCCCAAAATAGCAGCAACCAAGACTCAAAACTCAGAAAACCTCCAATTAATGCAACAAAAGATTAAAGGTCACTTATGGAGCAATGAAAAGAAAGAACACTGGCCGATTAAACCTGACAACTAGGGTAAAAATGAAGATCTGAGGGGTACATTTAATTATTAAGTAACATCACCATGAGCAGGATATAGACAGGGTTGACTTCAAATACTGAATTCCCAAGGCCAGCATCTCCAGTTAAAACAGGGCCTGCCAATTATCTTCCTAGGCCCTGAGACCTCTTTTGATGGGACTAGTGGACTTTCTTTGTAAAGACTGAAACACTGTCAACGACACATTTGAACTCAGCACATTGCATAGCAACTCCTTTAGGACTATCAGTTCCTCTGTGGCCAGCAAAGGATGTACGATTCTGGGTCCTTCCAAAGTTGATTCCAATCCTGCTTCTATCCTATGATTTCAATCATTTTCAAGTCCCCCACCAAACATAAAGTCATGCAAGAATACTGGAATGAGTTAGTAAATGATAGTAGATTTGTCCAAGACTCAAGAATGTGATTCTGAAAAAAGACCAGAAATTCAGGAGCATTGCAGAGAAGAAAATCAAGCTAAGGGATAGTTTGTTTTTAAAGGACAGAAGAGAAACTGAAATAACAGGCTAAAATAACCTGGAACCATTGGGGAGCATTTCCTGGTTGTGTGAGAGACAGAAGGACACGATGGTCCTTACCTACTATGGGTGGGACCGAATACACTACACAACCTTTCACAACAAGGGATTTCCCTGATGCAAGTGCCTATAGTAGCACAGGCTCCTAAGTTCCACACATCCTTGCTATATTCTAAATCAATCAAATACAGAATAGGCCAAATATGAACTGACCAACAAAGCCAAAAATCCTGAAGTCTCTCAATACTGTTTTACATAGTAATATATTACTGCCCTCATCTGTATTTTTAGTTAAAAAGTAAAATTCAAACTAAATCATTAGTGGATCATTTTAATCCATACCATTACATAGGAATATCATACCTGCAATGCATGTAAAAAATAATGTTCTCACTTAAAAGTAAAATACATGCACACATTCAAAGTAAACATGTATTATCCTTGAATTAAATAAGTCCCCACACTCATCTGTTAATATTACAAACACACACACAAAGAAGCAGGTAAGAATGGGCAGGATGCCACTGTGGACTCACCTTGGTTGGCATTTGCACCCTGAGGCAGGGCATTGGTTAGGTTGGGTAATTCACTGCCATGATTTCCATCTTCCCATGGGCAGACGTCAACACTGTTCCATTTTTTCAGCTGTTTTAGCCAGCTGGCCTTCTGTTCCAACTTACAGTGGGGGTTTAAAACTATACACATCCACAGAGCACCTAATTTAAAGAAGACAAAGAAATAAATTTCAAAACAATTACAAAAAAGGTTCATGGTTAATAGCTTAAGAAGAATTCTGAATCACTTCAAGATGGACACAAGTCTGGCAGCTCTCCTAATATAATGCCTAATTTTAAACCAAAGACCAAAGTGCTGTTAAACATAAATAAGAGATGTATTTCACAAGTTCTGACTGTGACCACCTTATTTGTATTAAACTTTATATATAAAAGTCAATAACCAATAATGTAAACAATCCTAGGGCCCAATTTAAAGACACTATTATTCTACATCATTTTTTTCACAATTTAAATTTACTTTCAAAGACTATCTTTGCATGATAAAATTATACAAAAAATATATAAGAATAAAATTATACTATGGACAAAGTTTCCTAGTCTCCTCACATAAATTTCAAACATCACATTTATTAATTAGTATCCATAATTATGTGCATGTGTGTACATATTCTCATACACACACACACACACACACACACACACACACACACACACACACACACACACACACACACACAGGTAAATGGAGTAAAATCATTTAAGCTTAGAAGCCAATAAAATAAATCTTTTACAAATAAAGCTCAAACCTAGGCATGGTGTCACACAACTGTCATTTGGGAGGCTAAGGCAGGAAAGTCTGAGGAAGCTTGTGGTACACATAGTGAGTCCATAGCAGTCAAATATGATCTCAGAGACAACCAAACCAAACAAAATTAAAATCAGTTCCATGAAGCATACTTTCCTAAGCAAATCAAATGGGTGCCAATCTTCATATAATCACTAAATGCTAATAAACATTTCTCTAGTTTTTCAAAAGTAAAAATGAATGCAACGGAAAGGAATAAGTCATAATTTAAATACAATAATGGTGATTCATTATGCTTTCTGCATAGTTAAAAAAGAGTAGTTAACACAAATATTGCACAAATTTTAAAATAGTAATTTCTAAGTAAGATGACACCACTACCCCCAAAACATTTACATGTTTTCTCTAGAAAGGCATAAATGAACGTCTATGTTTTGATGACTCTGTCAATTGGGTAAAAAAGGTAGAAATGAAGAAGATGAACAGTTTTCTTTGCCCAAAAGTGATGCTTCACAGTGCTTCCTATTTAGTGCACCTAATACTGTAAATATGAAATAGCTTAAAACAAAATACACAAAGTTTGTAAAAATAGCTTCAACTTCTCTAAGCCCCAGACATTTACAATCTAATCTACATTTAAAAATTTTCAAATGCCTGTTAAAAACAAAACATGGTCAGCCAAGATGGAGTAAGCTCACCATAGCCTCTCTTCCTCTCAATGACTACAACTAAAAACTGGCAAAAGAGGGGAAATAAGACAGTAAGTGACCATATAGCTGTTATTTTCCAGCACCCCCGACCCAATTTGTCTTCTGGATTTGACATAAGATTAATAACTTCCCTCATGAAATTCTGCAGGGACACATGCATGAAAATATGGAAGCTTGACTTTCCCCAGTGTGTATAGGGAAAGGAGAACACCACGCTCAGAGTGGCTGAAGTCCTCATCACAGCATATACATGAGACAGAACCAAGGCAGAACAGTGGGGCTCTAACCACTGACACTGGAGCCCCCCCCCCTCCAGTGTTATGAAAACTTATGGTCTTTTCACCCTAGTTGGTTGCTTGTTTTAATTTTTTTTTTTTACCCACCATAGAATTTTAATAGAATTGACTCTTACAATATCCAAAATGTACAGAATATAAAATCTTGGCTTATAAAGATGCAGGAAAATGTGTCAACTCTCAAGAGAAAACTCAACATATGTCAAGTAACATGGGCAAGATGTTAGAATTGGAGACTTGAAAGTCATAGTAACTGTGTCTGTGAGGATGAAGGTGAAAGTAATTAAGAGGAAAAAACTGTAATATCACCTCCAGTAATAAAATTAAAAATATTAAAAGAACAAAACAAATTTTAGAAGTGATAAAAGAGCATTTTTTTTATTTGAATTAGAAACAAGATTGTTTTACATGTCAATCCCAGTTCCCACTCCCTCCCCTCATCCCCTACCATCCCCCCCCCCAACTAAATCCCTATCACATATCCTTTCTGCTCCCCAGGGAGGGTGAGGCCTTCCATTGGGGGGGGGGGGCATCAGGGTCTATCATATCCTTTGGGATAGGGCCTAGGCCCACCTCCATGTGTCTTGGCTCCGGAAGTAGCCCTCTATGTGGAATGAGCTCCCAAAGTCCACACCTATGCTAGGAGTACTGAACTACTACAGGAGGTCCCATAGATTTCCGAGGTCTCCTCACTAAAAACCCACGTTCCTGGGGTCTGCTATCAGTCTGGGGACCAAGAGCTCCCGGTTGTTCAGGTCAGCTGTTTCTGTGGGTTTCACCAGTCTTGTCTGAAAGCCTTTGCCTATCACTCATTCTTCTCTGCAACTGGATTCCAGTTCAGTTCAGGGATTAGTTGTGGATGTCTGCTTCTACTTCCACCAGCTGGTGGATGAAGGCTACAGGATGGCATAAAAGACAGTCATCAATCTCATTATCAGGGGAGGGCATTTAAGGTAGCCTCTCCTCTGTTGCTTAGATTGTTAGCTGGTGTCAT